ATATATATATATATATATATATATATATATATATATATATATATATATATATATATATATAGACAAATTTAGCGGAGCGTACGCCCTTTTGTATATATTATATGTATATATTATATGTGTATATTATATATACTAATTACAATTCATTTTCACTTTACTTTTATTGAGTCTAATCCGTTGTTAACGACATAGTGCACAAAAATTAAAGTTTCTCTAAATCATGGAAAATAAGCAAAATTCAACAGGCTGTAATTGCAGCAGATCTCTTAAGGATTCTATTCTACAATTACATAAACATGCTCGTAAGTGATTGTAAATGATTACGATAACCAATCAGAATAAAGGAATCAGTGAATACAACACTTTAGTTGGTTGGCTTTTACGTTCACGACTCGCTTACGCAATTGTAAAATGGCCTTTAGACCCGTTATTTTTATTAAATGCTTTATAACTCCTAACATACATGACGCGAACCCATACAAAACTAATATCCAAAATACATCTCATGAATATCCTATAGATATCGCGATATTTATAAGATATCCATGAGATGTATTTTGGATATTAGTTCTGTATGTTTCGGATATTTGTTCTGAATGGGAAAACGCTTATTGCGCGGCTAGAAGCGACGCGATAACTAATTAACGCGGTAGCCGATTTTCGATAAAAGCTAGAAGTTTATTGACTACTGCATTGCTTCTTGCCGCGCGGCAAGTATTTTCGCGTCCTGCGCGCAGGAGCCATTAGATTATTAGCAGAGAAAAATTTGAGAGCCATGCCATCGACATATAAGGCTGCGTTCCGAAATTCACTGCTAGTACTGAAAATCTATAGTTCATGTTATGTATACTATAGAATTTCAGCACTGGCAGTGAATTTCGGAACGCAGCCACAGAATGGATTGCTAAGTGCGGTGGTGAGGATGGAAATAGACCTAAAGTAAGAAACAGACAGTGGCTTGGTTTACATCGTGCACTTGATACGCGTACTAAATAGTAACTTTCTATTAGATAATCTTAATATCGACATAATATATATACAACGGTATATTAAGCTGATATAATACTCATGAACAAAACGATTGATTGAATGCATCGCCGTTGATATGCATTGTCGATATTAAGATTATCTAATAGAAAGTTATTATTTAGTACCAGGTCAATGGCGTGGTTTACATCAGGCACTTGATACGCGTATCGGGTATTATATTCGTATCAAATTTGTACTAAACATTTAATATGCACGATGTGAACACTGACGGGTCAATTTGGTACGAGCGTACCAAGTAGAAGTATCGTACTAAACTAATATGCGTATCAAATGATACAAATGACGATGTAAATGTATGAAACGAATGTTGAAGGGAACCTAACCTAGTTAAAATCGGTGTTATCGGTAACCGTTGGTTTCTCTCAAATTATATTATAGTAAAATGTCTTGTAAAAAGGGTTATAAGTTAGAGAGAAAATGATGAAACGAGAACATTTTTAGAATTATGCATTCTGATTGTCGAACAAAGCTATCTCAAGCAAATTGCAATTCCAAATACTACCACTAGAAGGCAACCGACATGAATTAAATTCGTATTATATTTTTCCTTTAGTACGTTTGATGTAAACGCACCCGTATTAAAGCATTGGTGCACATCAAATTTAATACGCATACTAACGTTTTGATGTAAACCAGGCCAATAGTAGGACTAAAGTCCCTATAAGAGTCTGGCCACGTGCGTGTTCCTCCTTATTGGTCGAAACAAGGTTTGGAAAAACATGGCAGAAGCAATAGAAATTGTCATGGGAAGCGAGATAATTTAAAAAGTAAAATAAGGAAATTATGAACAATTAGTAGTCTTTTTTTATTAAACTCTAAAATGAATAAATAAAAACATAATTTTGATTGTAAACTTGAAACATTATTAATCTGCAGGAAGCGAATACAGTGAAAAGCCTTTTTGATAATAGTTTTTCCATCATGGAACACAACACGTTGGCATTTTGAAATCTGAAAATTCATATTTCGTATTGCACTATTTTATACAATTATCTTTTTAGATATTATTCATAATAATATGAGGTTACAATGACAATTTATATGATGAATACAATTTTTTTATAATATCAATTTTTAAGTGAATTAACTTTTTTATTTTACCATGGAAACCATACAGAGCCATACAGAATAATTTTATTTACTTCTATAGCAATTTAATTCTATAGCAATTTAATTTTACTTACTTCTATTAACAATCTATAGCTAAACTGACATTTTTATCTCGTAACGCTATAAATACCAGCTGTTATTGTAAATTTATACAATGATCGTAATATCATAAAAAAAGTGACATTCATAGGAGCATCTTTATCATTTGTCATTTCGGCGTGCCTGAGCGCGCGAAATCTCAGCCCTGTCATTGGTGAAATATAATCGCTTCCTGTTTGAAAACTATTATAGCCTCGATATTTTTATATGAAAGTTTTCGTTTTGAAATGTTCTAAAGAATCTGCCATTGAAATAGCATACCTTAGTTTCAGGACACCCTATATATACGACCGCCATGTTTTTCCAAAACTAGTCAGACTACTGAAATATATACTACCTGAAACGCGCGCTGCCACTTGAGACATGCGGATGAGAGAGAGGTTTCTTGTTTCCTCTCTTATCCTTGTCTGGTTCATAGTATAGTCGAGAGTGGGGAAAATGTGATACAATCCAAGTTAAAAATTAGAGATAATATGAAAAGCAGTGACCACTGAATGGCAATGACTTATGAACGAAAGTTTAAGATATAAAAAAAAAATATATATATATTTTTTCTCACTTATTAGTTACTTATCGACTTATTATTAAGAAAAACAAAGCAAAGATGATTCCTAATTCGGAGATTCAGCTTATGTTTAAAAATTAGCCGACTTAGCTTTTGGTTCAGACTGTACTAGATAAAGACAGAGCGCTGTTCTAGACCTACAAGCATGCTCTCTCTCATCCGCAACACTCAAGAGGTAGCGCGCGTTCCAGGTAGGTATATATTTCAGTGGGCCAGATTCTATCTTATAGGGACTCTAGCGTGAAAACCAGTGTCAAAACGTATAGCGTGGACGCTCTCTGATTAGTTTCAAAGTATCCGATACGAGTCGCCACTGTTCTTACTGAAGAATCAAAGTCGTAGTATAATTCAACGATAAGACAGATGTAATTTTATTATTAAACTTTACGTATCAACACAAATTAGAAAACCTCTTTATTTCAAATAATACAGCTTAATAACTGTTTTGTGTATTCATCTACAACACATAGTATTATACATAAATGTAAATGTAAATATTACATTACATTTACATTATCGAGTGCGAAATTATAACATAAATGTAATATAACTGATATTTGGTCATATATGCCACTTTTTTCTCTAGGTGCGATCTATTAGATGCTATAAATGCTTTGAAGCGTCAAATAGATTAATCATAACTTTTCTTTAAGTGTTTGAAATCGTTTGTAGCATTTAATGGATCACATTCCTTATGAGGCTTTCTATTAGTTAGACCCATCTTTTATTGGACAAAATTTAATGAATTGCAATTTCAGCAAAAATAGATATAATGAAACGATTCAAAAAGCGTTTAAAAGTGTTTTCATTATACATGTCAAGTTACATACTTGTGGACAGAATACTGATAGCTTCGTCCTTGACCGAGTACTATTCTCGCAGAATCTTGTCGTCGTTGCAAATGACCAATATTTGCGTATGGAACGCTAGATTGAGGAGATTACCGATCGAGTATATGTTCCAATCCAGCATCACATTGACGAAGTTGAAGCGCAATTCCGACTTTACGAAAACGAGTAGCATCGAGTACGTCGAGTGAAGCGATCATTTCATTTCGTCGTGCGCGTTTTAGATGAGAGTAACGTAAGTTTATAGCGCAATTAGTCAGATAGACTAACTAAATGGCTCAAAGTTCCGCAAAGCGGGACAAATGCTTCTCTATTATAGTAATAAGTAAATGCTGGAACGTATATATATATATATATACACACTGTAAAAACTGATGTGTAAAATTTAACATTTCATGTGACCCAAATCATCCACTTTCATTTATGTGTAAATTTAACACAAAATAAATGTGAAGGTAACACGCATAATATGTAAAAAATTAACACGAAAATTTAACACTTGAATACCGTTAGGAATCACAGTTTGTATTAAATTGACACATGTATAATGTTAAATTAACTAAAATAAAACGTTACTTTAATATTTAAGAGAAGTATTAATTTATGGTTTTGATGAAATGAAAATGTTTAATTGACATAATTTATGTCTGACATATTAAATATGTCAATTTAACACAACCTGTGATTCCTAACGGTATTCAAATGTTAAATTCTTGTGTTAATTTTTTTTATATTATACGTGTTACTTTTTAACACATGTGTTTCGTATTAAATTTATACATAAATGAAAGTGGATGATTTGGGACACATAAAATATGTTAAATTTAACACATCAGTTTTTA